GAGGAGAGCACCCGGTCGTCGCCGGAATTGAGTATTGACTCACCGGTATATCTGGAGAAAAATGTGCTTATGATTGAAGGACCATCGTCGGAGCCCGCTGCACCTTTTCACTTGAAGTCGAATACGGACGCACTCGAAGAAAGTGCAGTAGCTGACGTTTATGATTTGCCAGTGGTGAACCTTAAGGTCACGGCCGAGTCACCGCTACTTCACCACGGAAATGCTGCAGAGGAGAGAACCCGGTCGTCACCGGAATTGAGTATTGACTCACCCGTATGCCTGGAGGACGTGCCTATGATTGGAGGACCATCGTCGAAGCCTGCTGGGCCTTTTAGCGTGGCACCGAATACGTACACACTCGGGGAAACCACGTTGATTGACGCGGCTGTCCTACCGATTCCTACATATTCCGAAGTCCCGGAATACCCGGCAACATCACGGTCTGTTGGTCCGCGGAGGAGGTCCGCCTGGAAGAGGACCAAACGGTTCGTTTGGAGGTCGTTGGTGAACGTGGCACGCAGGGTTTGCTTCTGCCAACCCTTTGTAGACGTAGAGTAATGTCCACCAAGTTTTCGACTTCTCCCCTACCACCACCGTCTGCCCCCGCCCTTTAAGTTTGTAATATTGAGCTCGTTCGCCCGTCCGTCCGGTATTTTTCGCTCCCGCGTTTGCGCCCGTTGGTGTACGCAGTTTTCCGAGCGAGTACTTGGCGTACGCCAAAATTAACTAAATTATTTTGTTTTTATAAATCAGCCCTGTACTTTGTAGTGTCAAAACTTCATATTTTTGTCCCGGCTGCAATCAGTATTACTTTATTAGTGAAATCTTCTTTGTCAATATGCATTCGCGCGTATGCAGAGTCCACTTGTCCCTTGATTAACTTGGTCAATTTTGTAATAGATGTATTTTACTATTACGGATCCTATAATACGGTAAATGTGTAGTTAAATTATCCTATGAGTCAACCAATTGTTTATGTTTATTCCGGACAACGGGCCCTTATGTTTATAATAATTATCACTGTATTTTGTAAATTTGTATTACCACTGAATTTTGTAAATTTGTATTACCACTGTATTTTGTAAATTTGTATTATCATATTATGAGACTGCTGTCTAAAAATGATGTATCATTATAATGAAACTGCTGTCTAAAAACTATGTATCTACTTATTATATGAGACTACTGTCTAAATTTTATCTAATATTATTTACAATATTTGAAAATTTCATGAAATTTAAAAAAATGTAATATTTCGTGAAATATTTCATGAATTATTTCAAAATGTGTGAAATATTTCAGTGGTTTATTAAATTTTGTTTTATTTTTAAATAAGTTTTATATTTAGGTACATATAGCCGACCCGTCACAGCTTCGCCAGTGATTGGTTGTTTATTTTGCCTCTGAACGATGATATGTATAATTTTGTATTCAAATTTTATAGCTTAATGTGATCGGCAAGTCAATATAAAAAAACTTTTAATGAAAGCGTATTGAAATGTTTCTATCTGTATTAATGATAAATATATTTTTATTACAAAAAACCGATCACGTGCATATCGTTGCCGTTAAATGGACCAACTCTATATATATGACTCAAATACTTTGTTCAATTCGTTATTTAATATTCGATGTATGGTGTTGAAAACTTATCTTAACTTCTCCGTTGTGCCCAGAATAAAAATTCTGATTCACAGCTGTATATTATCAGGTAGGCAATCTACCTGCGGTAGATCGCTGATCCCGTGCTGTTTGTACGTAAGTGTATGATTTAGCTCTAGACTCTAGAGTCTAGAGCAGGGGTCTCCAAACTACGGCCCGCGGGCCGGATGCGGCCCGCGAACAAGTTTTAACCGGCCCGTGGCCCGCATAGGACGCATAGGTAAATATAGATAAAAAAATTATTTCAAAAATGTATTTATATTATATTATATTTATACCTATTTATTTTTATTTAAGTATATTGTAAAGTAAACAATATTCTATACAAAAATATAAAGTAAATATGTCATTTATATAGGTACCTATATTATCATAAAGTTAAAAATTATATGTTTTAATAAACTTTTGGCCCACTAAGATAATTTGATTTTTTTTGCGGCCCTTGAATAAAAAAGTTTGGAGACCACTGGTCTAGAGTATCAAAGTTACTTCATTCCACCTACGGTGAATTGATATAATTAATCAATACAAAATCCTAACCTAACCTAACCGTACTAAAATCCGATGAATAAAAAAAAACCAAATTTAACCCTTGTTAAATTAATCTATCTTCTTCCCAGAGGTCTAATCTACACACAAACATTATATAACATTATATATCTACGAAAAATAATAATACAAATCAACAAACATGCCCGATTAACCAATAGCAACCGATATATAATACACTATTATTATTTTAATCTGCAACAATTAACTACATTTTTTATTATTTAGTTTATTTTTTTCTGGACAGATGGCGCCGCTGTTGTATTTTTGACATCCATATTTCCTACTTTTCTGGTGGATTTTTCTAAACAAAAGTGGTACTATGGCCTCCAGCAGACTGTCAAGTATAACAGTAAAACATTTCAGCCAAATCGGTTCAGTAGTTTTCTCGGTTAGCGCGGTCCAAGAAAACCCTTACCATTTTATATAATAGTATAGATTATATTATAATAGCATAGCTTTAATTAGTTATGATGGTCATGAACAATGTATAGGTACAATGTTTATACACTGAAATAAGTAAAATCAAACAATAATAATATAAACTTATAAAAGTAGGTATTGACAAAATAGAATTTAAAATCTCACTATCTCAGCATATAATATTTTTTTATATTACTTACAAGTAAACGTGCCCAAGGTACCCAAATATTCATATACATATTACATATATGTATATATATAGGTATATATATATATGTATATAATATATTATTATTATTTTTAATAATAAATTACATCACAGATCACAATGTTAGTAATTTTTCAGTATCATTGACGCCTTTTAGAAAAGATTAAAAAAATTTAAATTTGATAGCGAATTTTAAGATAATTTTTTTCTTACATTATTTAATATTATGATATGTAATATTTTTCATAAATTAATGACACGCTCGAAACTAGAGGTAATTTTTGACACTTAAATAATTTGCCACCACTGCACTATAATATTATAATATAATCCATAAATGGAACAATGTGACTATTGTGTGAAAGATTACCGTATAAGCTTTCTGCAGAAGGCCTATTTGTGATATTAGCCGTAGGTTAGGTTAGGTAATACAGTAGAGCCTCGATAGTCCGGACCCCCGATAATCCAGTGAACGCGGTAATCCGGACGGCAAAATTCCATTTGTTCGTAAATAGATTTTTCCCGGAACCCAATTAATCTATAAGATATTGTTATCGATAAATATAATTTCGTAATTTTTATTACCTACTGTTCCTAGTAAAGACAAATACATATGTAGGTAATAAATCGATGCCCGATGGCCGATGGTCAGTTCGTTTACTTCTTTCTTGTCGAGTGGTTATTATTCTTGTTTGTTACAATGGCTCCTCGTAAACACGTAACTTTGACTTTGGATCAAAAAATTGAAATAATTAAGCTAATAGAAAATGGCCAGAACTATGGTATGATTGCTGAGAAGTACGGAATAGGTAAATCGACTGTTGGTGACATAAAAAAAAATAAAGAGAAAATTATGAAGTTTGTCAGCACAACTGAACGTGGTCCAGGCACACGTAAAACTTTAAAACAGCCGGAAAATCTTGTTCTCGAAAATGCTTTATTAATATGGTTTATGCAACAGCGGAGACGACACATTCCGATAAGTGGTGAAATAATTTGCGAACATTTTTTATTTTTTATTTCACCGTGAAATAACAAAGCAGGAAGATGGTTTCACTGCTAGTAGAGGTTGGCTAGACAATTTTAAACATCGTCATGGTATTAGGCTCCTTAAAATAACGGGTGAGAAACTTTCATGTGACGAAGCATCAATCGAACCATTTCGAAATGAGTTGCTGAGGGTCATAAATTAAAATAATTTGGACCTAGAACAAATTTATAACGCTGATGAATCCGGTTTATTCTGGCGAATGTTACCAGAGCATACATTGGCATCAAGTATTCAAGTCATGAGAAAAACCGGACATGTGAACGCACATACCACTCTATGTGCATGTATACTCTATATAGGTAATCCTGGAGATGGTATCCAGCCTATCCATTTACAACGTTTGTGACGGATTGCTAGACGCTCAAACTTTTAACATTCCCGCCAAAGCGTCTAGCTTTATCTCCAATCCATATCACTAATCCTTATCACAAATCCTAAACTTTCGTCTTACAACCTTTGCTACTTTTATAATTCCAACGACATTGTCTCCAAAATCGGTACCCACTCTCAGCGAGTCCAACGGGCCCCGAGTTACACTTAGACCTAGTTCATTATAAAATACAGTATTTGGTCAGACTTAGATTCTGTGATATTTGGTCATGCACTCATGCATGATAATATAATCGTGCATGTGCGTGAACCGGAGAAAGAGCGATAAGAGAATTGATAAGACGGGAGCTCGCATCTCGCCGGTGTTACTTTTCGTCGGCGCTTCGTTTAAATGAAATCGATCTAGAATAAATCTAGAATATTTTGTTTGTTACTTGAAAGTTGAATTCAATACAATATTGAAACTGATAAAAGACGGAAACTATTAAATAACGGATAGGTATCAGTAATCAGTTCGATACCTGATTTGTCGGACGATCACAGCGAACGTGTTGGTGTGTATATTATAATAATTTTATTTTATTTAAACTCTGAAAATACAATGAACACTCAATTGACGTGGAAAGTAGGTGCTGTGAAATATGATCTCCTATCGACTCCAAACAGGTTTTCGCTTTATCATATAATTTATGATCATCCAACGTGTGTCCTACTCTTTCGTCAAAGGTTCACATTATATTATACTGTTTAACAATTATATTATTTTTTTTTTCGCAGATGGCGTTCCCCCGGGTGCTACTGGTGGTCCCGCTGTTTACCACTTCCATTCTTGGGTTGTACTTTCTCATTCAAAATGCTCCACCCACTGATAATCAAGTAAGATCGACCTTACTTACTCATAATCATAGTACCTATAAGAAATAATATTCCTTAGACTTTGCTCATTACTCATAATAATATAGTTTCCTACCAACTTTGTGACGCCAAGTGAATTAGAGCTGGTCTTTTAGCATATTTTCCCTATTCCTCTGCACGTGGGTGCCGGGTGGCTAAATTTAAACTCATTTGTAATCATCTCTTACAGAAAATAAGTATAAACCTTAATTATGATTAAATATAAATATTATTTACTGCTAAATTTCAAATGCTGACATCTCAAGTCAACATACAACTTGAGTGACCAAATAACTAATAACTATGTATAATATAATAGACCAATACCCATAGTACCCACTCATCAACCTAAAACAGGGAACTAATGTGTCAACGATACCTGAATATGGACTTTGGCGCCATTTGACTACTTTATGTAACATTTATATTAATATGATTTCTGTCCATCTAGTGCCGCATCAAAATGGCGATTCCCAAGAGCATGGCTGAACTAATGGAACTCAATTTGTGTCTTAGGAAGCATTACGAAAACAACTACCTATATATGCTTTTATTGTTCAGTACTGTTTACATTATTAAACAGGCCTTTTGCATACCAGGCTCTGTCTTACTGGTAAGTGTTCTGTGGTGGTGATACAATATCGGTCTCAAGGTACTCAACCAGGGCCGGTCTTAGGGGTGGGCTAGCTGGGCGACCGCCCAGGGCGCCAATATATCATGGGCGTCTTCAGAGTTCAGATATTAATTTTTTTAACAATAGTTTCTGTAATTCAAATTATTTTAAATAATTCGAGTAAATACAATTATGTATAGCAAAAATTAAAAGATATCTTAAGAAAAACCATAGCTGTCACTAACTAACGAAAATAGATAGTCGAATCAATCCAGGTACTCCACCTTCACGCGCACTACATTCGAAAGTATATTTAACGCTTTTGTCTCTTCCAACTTCCAAGCTAGAGTATTAAGTATAAAATTCAAGTGCAAATGTATGGATCGCACTTAGGATTCTTTTGACAATTCCTGTTACAGTTGCATCTGGAAAACATAGTTTTTCAAAACTTAAGCTAATTAAAACATATGTAAGAGCAACTATAGTTGATGAAAGATTGTCATCACTTGCAATCTTATCTATTGAAAACAATATTGCTGTAAATCTCGATTGGACAACATTGGTAAATTAATTTGCAGAGATTAAAGCACGAAAAGTTCCACTAAAAATATGAATTCATATCTTAAGATTATTTGAATATAAACATACCTACCTATTAAATAATATATACTTGTTAATATTATTATTTTAAAAATGACTTTACTTTAAATTTATTTCAGTAATTAAAATGAATTAAAACAGTTTGTTTTTTATTCTTACTTCTGAGTAAAAAATACTTAACCTGAATTAGAGGGCGCATTAATTTTCCTTGCCCACGGCGCATAGATCTTTAAGACCGGCCCTGTACTCAACACACAGTTGTCCAAAACTAAGTTTTAATAAGACAAAATCATTGTTTTAATTTTCTAAAACAATTCCTAAACATATATATTGTTTAAATTATTAAACTAAAAAAAAATTTGCAAAAGTAAGTAACAAAATATTTCATGAACTGTGAAATGTTTACATTATTATTCTCTTTAACAATGTCATTTATTTTTGCTATTATAACTATGGCCACATTTTTATAATTTAAATTGTAGACTAGGTTTTGCAACCACATCAGTAGTTGATAGCTTATATATGAAATGTATAAACGAATCTGAAAGTAGTATAGTAAATGTATTAAATCTTGGTTTTTGCATAATTAATTTTATTAGTAATATACTAATATATCATACAATAAAAATATTGAAACAATTTGTGCTCTGCAAACATTTTTTGTTTTTTTCACTTTGAAGCCTATAAGTTGTTCTATAACATACATGAGTAGAAAATAACTAGAATTAAATATAACAAATAAATGAGGAGCTTAATAATATTTAAAATTATAATGCTAATCAGTTAAAAATAAAAGTATCTATGACCCTTCAGTCTTCATTCTTAAAATAATATAAACTGGATTTAAGTATAAAGTAGAATACAAAAAAGTTAAAATTATACAAATTTCCAATACTAAACATTATTTTTTGAAAAATATTTTTGTATGTACCTATTTCATAAAGATTTTCATTGCCAAAATTCTTTTAAATTAGTAATAAAATCAAACCTTGTTCATTTTTGGAACACTGCAGTAGTCTTATCATACTATCATCTATCGATTTTCAGAATTTGATTGCGGGTTCGTTGTTTGGCTCTGTTTTTGGACTCTTTCTGGTGTGCACACTATCCAGTATAGGTGTCTCTGCGTGTTACCTCCTGTCTAAAGTGTGTGGCGTCGAAACGTTTCTAATGAATTATTTCCCCAGTGCGTTAACCTCATCAAAAACTACTGTGGGAAATTTGGTAAGCAAAACATCACATTTTATAAGTATAATATTATTTCAATTGTGATGATAACTTTCTTAACGATGCAATTGTTTCCAGGTTAAAAACAACGAACACCAACTTTGGTACTTGTTACTAGTCTTGAGGATCATACCGATTACTCCGAATTGGCTGTTGAACCTGCTTGCACCGGTGTTCAGCATTCCCCTCTGGACTTTTACTTACACAACGTTTTTTGGTATGTCCGGTGAAAACTAAATGGTTTTCATAATAATAATTTTATTATATAAATATATGTATGTAATCCAAATATTACATCAATTTTTTTTTTTTCAGGGCTGATGCCTTACAATTATATATGCTGCCAGAGTGGAGAAACGTTGTCGAGTATCAATTCGTTAGAAGAAATATTCACATTGAAAACAACACTACAGTTAACGTCCATCGCTGTGGTTATGGTGGTTGTAAAGGTTGCCTCAAAGTTCTGTAAAATAAACACCTAATTGTTATTTATTGAGTTTATTAATAAGTTTATTTGAGGACAATTTATAGTAGGTATTAAATAACTTTATATACCTATTCATTCGTGACCTCTCATGACCAACTTGTATCCTCAATCCTGTGTGACTCACCTTCAAATTCTATCAAAAATTACAATGCACTGTCATTTATTTAATTTAATTAGGTTCATGAACCATTCAGTTATGATTAGGGCTCAGAAAATATTGCACTAAATAACTTTCAATCAGTTCGGCTGTAATGTTCAACATGAACACACATACTTTGTATTATCTCGCTCCGTTATCGCTGCAATGCGCTCATTAGTGTATACCAATAGGTCGTTTCCAAATAACAATGTCAACGAATAAAATCACTCAAAAAATTAGTGTAAATTTAAAAAGTTCACGCATCACCTCAAAACGTCATTTGTCGAATTCGTCTCTGTCACATAATCAGAATGATAAAAAATCCAAATTTTTGTTTCGCCAAAAAAATTTGCCATTCTCGCCAATAACGATAACTGTGAAAACAGTGATGTTTCCACACCTTCAATCTGCTCAATAGACCACTCCACTGTCACCTCACACTGTTCAGGATTATGATCCGCCAATCTATATTAAAAACATTGCAAATTACTCCGCCTTCCTTCAACTCCGCTTTGACAAGTATTACAGGCCCAAACACCTTTACTTGCAAGTCTTCGGCTTCTCATCTCATCTTCCAACCTTCAGGTCGTAATAGCTTTAACAAAATTGTCTCTCACCTAAATGAAACTGACGCCAGTTTTCATTCATTTTCACCTCGCTTCCAACGTCCCTACAGGGTCATCACCAGAAATGTACGCCCCTCGACCTTAGGCACTGATATTTCCAACCCTAAAAAAACATATATTTTCGTATAAAATTATTGTAAATTATTCCGAGACTTTGAACACTTAATATTATTTTTAAAAATTTTAGTAAAAAGAAATGTCATCATTTTTATTTAAAATACCTACATATTATGTTTAGACTCCAGAATACACATAACCCATTGATACATATTTAGCAATATTTGAGCCATAGGCGTGATGAATATTTTTTTTTGGGGGGGGGGCTCTTTTTTTTGTGGTATGTCGGAACTTCTTGAGAATTACTTCGCAAAAGGGCTATAATGATTCGGATACAGAACATAATATACTAAAAATGTAAAGGAAAAAAATATAAAGAGGACTAAAGAAGCCCATTTTAAAGTAAAATATAAATAAATAATATACTACCATACATCATATTATTATAGAATACTATTTTAAATTGGGAATTATTACTATAGTATAAGGTTTAAACACCTACTTTTTTGGGCAAATATATTAAGAATATCTTCAAAATTAATAATATTTGCCAAGTCCCTTTCAATATGAAGTAACGATAGATTTGAAAATCTATCGTTAGTCATAGAATTTCGAAGCCGTGTTTTTATTCGCTATAATAATAGACATTTTTTTCAGTTCTCACATAATATGGATGTATAAAACACTAAAACAGTAAACTTTTACACAGCTAAACAGATTCCCGGGGAACTTAATAGAATTCTTAAAACCATTCTAAGCCTATGGTTTGAGCTCTTTTGCAAAATTGTGTCCACCGAGCCACATTATTATATCTTAGTTCAGCCACTATGGCGGCACCGGAATAGGTGGGAGTTTGTGTGATGATAATTGTCACACATTTTAGGCGGTTCAGTTGTACGTTATGATATAAGGTAGGGATTAACGAAGACACTAAGACAATTATAATATATGACACAACACACAAGCATCTATTTTTGACAATTTATACATTTTTTCATATCTATTTTGAGGAATTTCCTTAAGGGGTATGCATACCGACCGTTTCTAAGGAGTTTGGTATGGGCAATTTTCTAATGGTGTGCATGCGGGTCGTGTAAATGTGTGCGTAGTAAATGATTATTAGTGTGAGTGACTGTGTATAAAATAAATAGTGGAGCACACCCGCACGTGCACGCACATGTCATTAACGGAACATTTTACACTCAAATAGTTTTCTAATACTATCGCATTAGAAAATGCGTCTATGTCTGTCGATAGGATGAGCTTTAGCCGATAAATCTAAAAAAAAACCCTTCGAGTATAAGCGGCCCTCCTGGAAACTCCCGGTATCCCGCCTGCCCAGTCCCAGCCCAAAACTGTAGGCTTAAGCCCCCAAAAATGTTCGTAAAAAGTAACTCGATGGCGCATTGCCCTCCTCCTTTTTAACTGCTTATTTATATTATTAAAAATAATAAATAACAAAATCATAAATTTTACTCTAGTTTCATTACCATACAGTGAGCCAGTGAAAGTGTACATGACTTATTTCAAGTCTTACGAAAAAATTAAAGATGAGTTAACATTTATCATGTTTTTAAAAGGTATTAGGTACATAATAAACTTTTAACTTTGGCAGAATAGAGCCTACAATTAGTTATCCGCTATGAAATAGGCCAATATAAAACTTAATAACAGTATATAAATAAATAAATACATAAATTCCAGAACATTAAACAAGTAAAAATGTCGGATATCTTATGAATTTATGTTTAGTATTATTGTGCTATGGCACAGTGATATCGTTTGCATTGGCTAGAATATGTGAGTGTCACATACAGGATTTTACTGTGCAATATGCTAAATACTTTATTCATTTTGAATTGATATTAATATATTATAAAAGTTTAAAGATTAATTTGTCTTGAGGGTGCAGGCTTGGAGTGATTTTTTATTGTAGGCTAAGGGGGGAGGACGATGTCAAGGTACCTGATGACAAGTTATAACTTATAACTTGTCATGGTTCCTTATAACTTATAAGGAACCATAATATTTGATTATATTTTCGAGGTTTTTGATATTGAACATTTTTTTATTAATATTTTTAAAATGAAAACAAAAATAATTGAAAATCTAAATGTCTAAATAGATCAGAATGTCAAAATATTTTGAATAATTTATCATATTGTACAGAAAATGATAATACAAACATTTGGTGAAAATTTCAAGTATCTACAAATTATTTGGTTTGAACTACTTTTTAGTTTCACCAAAATAAAAAAAACCATAAATTTTGTCAAACACTGGTTTTACGTCAAATTTTTCCTTAGGTTTTTTTTTCATTGTTTTTCCCGGTTATTAAGAAAAAATACTGGGGGGTTTTATTTTTGACCTCTCAAAGTACCAATTAAATCCAATTTACTACCATAAATCACCCTCCAAGTTAAAAATCAAAGCATTAAAATTAGTGCTTCAGAAGATGGTTATAGGCAAAAAACACATCATTGTAAAATCAATACATTCACTGTTCCTCTCAGAATCTAAAAACATATATTGCATATCATTATAAGCAATTAATAATGTTAGTCCAATTTTCCCATTTAAGATAAAAATCCAATTTTAATAAATAAGGGAAGTTGCATAGGACAAAAAAGGGTGCTAATTCGGTATGAGCTCTACCAGTTTTGGCATTCTACGTTGCTGGCAACTTTACCGTCAAGACAGTAAGGACCTTTTTCTCGCCATGTTAGAAGACATTCAGATCGTAAATAATCGTTTTTGAATGAATATAAAATAAAACGACTGTAGATCATACCGACTCAGACACTTGTCTGTAAAGAATCATTAATAAATATAAATATAAAATAACCAACTCAGATACTTATCTGTCATCAATAAAATAATATAAAATAATATAAAAAATATAAATTTAAAATAAAACCCAGTCAAAACGACCTATTTAGACTGTAGAGCACATACCGACTACACTTTTCGGTAGAGCGCATATCGAAACAGAAACTTTTTTGGTACCCAAAAAAGTGGACATAGTTACCAACGATTATTTTTCGGATAATTTTAAATACTCTTAAAAAGTTATTATATAATATATACTACACATCTCAATATTTATTATGTTATATTCAAGTTATTTAGAGTGCTTCAAGTCCGATCCCTGTTGATGATAAACCCAGAGTGAAATCTGTGATGTAAATAAATTTTAGAGAATTTATACATACTATCAAAAAAATTTTATGCAGATCGTATAAAAAAAAAAAAAATATGTATATAATCTATCTATACGACTATACATTATATTTTAGTAGTTTCAATGAATCAAAACAATGAGTGAACGAGGTATGCCTTTTTTATATTTATATTTTTCAAATATAATTATAAGCGTTAAAATTAATTTGCGTATTACTTTTGTTTAAAAATAAATTATTCATAAATTTAAAATTCCCACATTTGAAAAAAACCAATCTAGCATATAATATATTCTTGTAAATTGACGAGTATGGTTTAAATATAATTATTTACATAGTCACAGTAAACTCAAAATAGTAAAAGGCACATTGAGTGGTAGACTGAAATAGTCGTAAACCGTGGGGTTAACACTGAACATGTCCCTAGAAAATAGGTCATAGTAGAATAACAAACACAAAAGAAAATAGTTTTGTTTTAAAAAAATTATACTCTAATCATTAATAATCAATGAAACATAGGACTTACAAAAAATTAATGTTAAAAAATAGGTACTTATTCAAACATTGTAAAGCCTGAACAACTATTTGCACATAAACGTAATAATAATTTTCTTAGTTTAATTAAATATTATTATAACGTTTTATTATTGTTTTATATTTTACAAAAATAGGTATTCAAAAAAGTTTGATGGTATCTTTAATTTTTTTTTTCCTATTTCCTATTATACAACATGCTTTTATTAGAAAACAATTTAATTAAATAACTGCTATGAAGTAAGACATTAAATTAATATGTGAATTTATAGTAAAAAATAAAAAAATACGAATAAATGCTTGTTAAAAGAAAAAATACATATAATTAAAAATATATATAACTAAAGATATTTAAAGTTAGAAATACAAATTTATAATGCTCGTAACAATAATAAGGGTTTAGTTCTTTGAGGTTAAAAACTTAATTAAAGCGATGTAGTAAATTATTAAGTAGGTAAAA